ACGTGTAAGATGGAAAGGGCAAAATGTGTCGAGTATTGGCTAGATGAGAGTTCATAAATTCATCAGTCATTGCATTTATTTCGAATAATGAAAAGCATTTCATAGCTAAGAGAAATAAATCGAACGAATCGGGAATGCTGTTAGGTTCCAATATACATAATATCATATGTAGCAGAGTAGAGTGGCATTTGGTATTACTAATACTACACGTCCTGCATTTTGAAGACTTACAGGAGCAGCGAAATACTTCCGCGAAAACATGGCTAAACAAAGAACGATACATCATTATTGTACAAATTGAAGTATGCCTCAACTCACGTTCTTTCGACTGATGACGTGTTAGTGGTATCATCGCGTCAAGCAAACTTTAAGACGTTAATTTGAGAAGAAATGAGTGGAACCAGCTGACGCAGCAGATCAGCCAACATTTTTTGAAAACGAGACCTAAATACTTTGCAAGAACTGCACAAATGGCAATTGGACCCGCACACGAAATAAATATGTTGCTCTTTAGCAAGCGAACTCCACTTTTACTCCTTGGAACGGCAACTGCGCCGTATTATCAAGATGTATTTTGAAGCCAATGGAATCGTCAAGGTCGCATCTCTCAGGACCGCCGGTGAGATTCTAAGGAGATAGGTGACGAAACCGTGCCCGTTACAGGATGCCAGGCAGCCGTCAGGCTAATCAACTAATGAAATTCTGACTCTCCGGATCTTTTACACTTGTAGTCACAACTGCTAATTGACCATAATTGTAAATAATATTTGTCTGACAACTAGTTATCTATGTGTTCCGGTGATGCGTGTGTATGCGTGTAGGCGATGTTAATTTATTGTAAGCACGTGCGCGTTATTCATTGCTTGCTAACGCGTGAATGGTTGTATTTACCATTATAAATAGGACTTAGCGTCCACTTGACTGCTGTTGTACATGAAAAGTCACTCATTCATTGATTTGCAGACAACAACGTTGTTGAACACGAGGCGTTCAAGGTGAGTCAGCGATTCAATACGCTAATCCAAATTCGTAACGTTCGATAAAGGGCGATTTAGACTTTCTTGGCAGCGCAAGAGAATAAAACGCACGTGAAGTGAATTTAGTCATAAACCATAAAAATATGTTAGTAAATTTCTTGTCACTGCCAAAAAATCCTAAACCGTTTCTTTTGCCGAATAATACGAATTTTGGATTAGCATGTTGGGGCGCTGACATATCGACCACCTTGAACGCCTCGTATTCAACAAGACATACTGTTGTATCGCGATCGGTAATCGAAAGAATAGTTAAACAATTTCGATTCAGATAATCCCGAATAATATATTTGTTTATTTATTTACTTATGTCTCATTTTGACGGAATATATGTGTAAAATGGTATATAGAAGAAACAATGTGCGTAGTCGATGAATAAGAAGTAACAAAAAAGATAATATTAAAATTTATGCATATTTGAGCGATGACAAGTCTCATAAAGGAAGTTAGGAGAGCCGTAAATTTAAAAAATTATGAAATTTCGTATATTAGTAGTAATTATGAGATTTTATAAAAAGGTAATTCATACACAACATAAACATATTTTTTGTTCGTACTATAATTCCAATCATAGGGAATGAAATCCCCTAGAAGAAAATTCTAAATATTCTCCATGTTTTCTACATGTCTAAAATTTGACACCTAATCTTGCAAAGCACTTTATTATTTAATCCTCATCCATTTCTCAATTTTCTAACTCAATTTGACAAAGTCACACAATAATAAAAAATTAATCTATAAACGAGGATAAGCAATATTTATTGACATGAAATATTGATAAAATATTTAATTTAAATGTTCTATTTGGTGCACGAATGAATATCTACGACCAAAATATAAAACAAAATCAAGGGTGAAATATTATTAGTCAAAATTTATCGACTAATAATATAGCAAAAACTAAAGATATTATCATTGATATTATCTATCATTAATTTTATTATTCTATATTAATTTTCATTTCATAATTTTTGGATCATTAATGTTAATAATTCTTCACAATCATGCAGTTTTGTCCGTTTAAGATTAGGTTAAAATTTTAAACTGAAAAACTAGATATCATTCTTCTATTTTATATATTTTTTTTTTTTTTGCTAAATAAACGAAGAAATTTTCTATAATAGAGTGACGAATTTTAATAAGCAGTCAATATTCAATTGTTCTTAATTTTGAAAAATTCACAAATGGGAAAAGAACGTGAGCCAGTGAACAGATGTTTCTCTCGCTTCTTCTTTTTCTTCATTCTTTTATATAGATTTTCTATAGATTTTATAAATGTCTATAGGCATTTTTCGATTGCTCGAATGAATATCTCCTTGTGAAATCAAAAACAAAGTTGTCAAAGTGACATAGATCTATTTAACGTCTGCATTTCCTTCTCAATTGTCAAATATACGAAGAATTGTTCTCAATAGACATTCAACTATAAATAAGCAAATATCGTTTTAGATTAAATTTTCTTTTAGAATTGTTTTCCATACAATTTAATCACAGACGACTTCTTGTTGGTATTTAAATTCCCAATCTAGCAGAATATTTCAATCTAATACTTCTTATAGAATTTCTGCGATGTAGTAAACATTTATAGTAACATTGTTCAATACTTCAAATTCACAGGCTAGTAAATTTTCCAATTAATGGATGAGGTTATATAATATAATATGTCTGTATTATTATTATCTCCAAGCAGCTTACTGATGTATTTTTTTAAAGGTATTATTCCTTTCAGCTGTTCTTTTTTGCATAAGTTTCAATTACAGTTGCTGCAGTAATCTTGAATTGAAAATTTTTCTTCATCATGATTGTCGTACGATAGATTACATTTCATTGAGAGAGGATAGCAGTTTTTAAAAAACCTGAATAACTTTATGATGCTTTAATACATAATTTGTACAAATTTTGCATCTTTTGATAATAAAATTCAGATCAAAATTTGAAAAATGATAATGTTACAGTCATGTTGACATTAGTGTTCTTCAAAACATTTCTGAGACTGCAATGCACAACTTCTGCTAAAAGCAGAAATCATCTGTCATTAACTTCAAGTATATGAAATTTTCTGTCATTAACATAATGAATCTTTGGCGTTAACTTTTAACCAAATTGCTAAATATCCATTGTTTTCTTCGTAAGTAATTATGTCCCGACTTGTTCTGTTCATGCTGGTGAATCAGAAGTGCCATTGTGGGAAGTTCCATGAATTTCAACTGGAAGTGTAGGATTTCCACCCTAGACAATCAATTAGTGTTGCACTAATAGTCGTGGAAGTAATGGTTTGATAGTCCAATGCTTCAAGTGGAATCTTCCGATGAAG